TATCCCATGAATAGTAGATTAATTTGGTTAGTTGGGATGTGTCATCCCATGTATAAAATGCACTTAAATATGAAATTATAGATGATGATTAATTCAATTCTGTGTCATTTCATGAACTAAACGGACCCTAAATGCTTAACAAAAAGGGTACAGTACGATGATTTGAAACCAAAACAAACCAAAATTCAAACTGAAAGTTGCGACATGGAATCGATCCACAGTTGTTGCTGTTAGTAGACTATGACAAATGTATATCAGGACAAGAAAGCCAAAAAAGCCTAAACCCTGTCATATCCTCGAACATTGCTTCCACCATTGCAGCAACTGAGACCTATGAACAGCGAGCAAAAACTATAACCGAACTTGTTGGAAAGTCAAAGTAGCTTTTTGTTGAGGATGGTCTACATTGAAATGGTTCTAAAACATTTTTACTATTGTGCAGCACCAACTAATTGTCACTCCAACCCAAATATTAATATTCTTGTGAACTAGACCATATATATGCTAAGCAGTAAGCACCACTGGGTACTCCAATTCAATTTCTTGAAGTTTTTTGCGTATCCAATACGCACAATAACTAAGTACTATCTATAAGTATAACACAGTATTTATAAAGACAAACAAAATTATGTGCAAGATAAAATTGTTAAAAGATGAACAAAGTATACATGCATCACCATAAAATATTAATTCACAGGTGCAAATTAAGTCAATTTGTTTGTAGGATTCATAACTAAATAAGAAGTTGGTTGATGTGAAAGTAATGAACTAGTACTAAGTATAAGTATAATGTATTTATAAAGGCAAACAAAATTATGTGCAAGATAAAATTGTTAAAATATGAACGAAGTATACATGCATCACCAGAAAATATTAATTCATAGGTGCAAATTAAGTCAATTTGTTTGTAGGATTCATAACTAAATAAGAAAATAAGGAGGTGATTGATGTGAAAGTAAAGAACTTCCTAGTTCATGACTGTGATTATAGCATGAGCATAAAAAATAGTAGGGAAGAAAAGAAAAACTAGCAAGGCTGCCAATACAGTATTAAATCCTCTCCTTACAAATTAATTGTTTATTTACTTACAACAAAAAAATTAATAATCATCTAATCATATTATTATCTTAATTTTAGCAACTTCACCAGCATATTTAGAAGTTAAATCATCTATTAATACTTTGCCACTAAAGTTGCATGAAACATTTGGATAGTGTACTAATCATTGAAAATCAAAATTTAGTCAATTTAGTTTAAACTTTTAAGTATAACAAAATAACCTACCCAATGTATTGCGCACCATTTTGATTCTAAAATATAGTTTTAAATATAATCTTGTTAAGGTGTAACAAAGAGGAATTCTCTCAAATTCAGAGGTGCATATCCTTTCAAGATTACCACCCTAAGTGTACACTAGTTTGAGCTGAAATTTTAGGTTTTTTTTTTTTTGTGGGAAAGGTTAATAAATCATTAGATGTATAAAGCTGTGCATGAAAACGCAGCCAACGTCGAATTTTAGGGTTTTGTTCAGGAGGGTAACATAATTCATTAGATGTCAAAAGTTGTGCATGAAAACATACCAAATGTTTATTGTTAGACGAGTGTTGCTAGATTTAACCCGTTTTCTTATGAACATATGCCACAATCTTTGATGATGCAGATTTAAATCTTAATTCATTTCTAAAGCTTTTGAACAACATTACGGAAGTGCAATTGCAGTGTAGAACTAAAGTGAAAATATCTAAATTCTTAAAATTTAGAGATTCCCAAGCAAGATTATAGGTACTTCCCTTTCCATTTTGCTTCTTAAGAAATTTATTGAGAAAATTTGCCTTATGAGTGGAGGAAGAAGTGATTGCTATGTAGAAATAGATGTAACTTTTTTATATTAGTAAAAATGGAATAGGTCACTGTTATAAAAAATAATTAATAGTAAAAATTTATATGAAGTTGTGCAAATGCCCTTTGGGGATGAGATTATGGAAGTCTATGCTACACTGCGGACTAGTACCTTGGAAAGTCTAATAGTTGGCTTTTGACTAATGAAATAGAGCTAATTGGACAAATAAAGACCTTACAATTTTATTTAAAACTATTTTATGTGGAATTAATGAGCCCAACAATCTCATTATGAGCATTTTCATTTGTCAAAAATCAACTACTAGGATTACTAACTAGTTGTTTTGGATCGTGAAGGCTCGTGGGCAAGCTTAGCTTGAAAACAAATTCTCAAATGTGTAACATATTATTACAAAGATTCCTATGAAATGCTAAAGCATGTACTGCATTAGGATTTATGCATTTTTTTTGGGGTGAAGGTTTGAGGACACCCCACGGAGAAAAAAGAAATATCTCCTCATAATAAAGAAGTATTTCCACATAATAAAGAATGGACATATGAATTAATCCACTAGGAAATTACCTTCGAAAAGTTTCTATGTCAAACATTAAAATAAATAAAAATAAAATGAGAAAACATCTTAATTTCTCAATTTTTTAACTATGATTCTTTTTAGCCACTACAATGCTTTCACAGCCTACTTTTCCATTGCACCAGTTATCCATTTAATTCATATATATAATTTGGTGTGTGAAAGTAATATTTAGCTAAACTATGATTTTTTATCCATAACAAAATATCAAATATTTATCCTTAACTCTAGATAATTGTCTTTGTTGGATCCAAACTTCTGATTTCCAAATAGGTATCTTTGTACAAAACCCTTAATATTTAATGCTTAGAGGTGGATGTAAAGTAATAGTTGTTTACCTTTTCTTTTCTTTTTTTTTTGGACAACCCCATATATAGGGGTGGGATATTAGTTCAAATTTTATTAATCAAAAAAGAAATAAAGAGGGGGCAAGAACCTAACTTCCAATACTATGCATGAACCAAGTAATAATTTATTACCTATTTTGGAAGGGAAAAAAAGTGTCGTTAAATACACAGTGACGTGGCAAAGGATTTTTAATATAAAAAATATGACAATGGTGGCTAGAGAAACTATGCCAATGACCAAAACACTATCATTAGTGATGCCATAAGACTATAGCTTTGATTTGGTTTAGGCGAAAGAATGGTCGAATTTTATCAAAATTTTTGTTGCAATTGACACAATTTACTAGTGGAAAATGTTTAGTTAATAAAACTGTTTGGCAATTTGAATCATTAGACTAATTTGGACAAAACCTGAGGTTCATTTTGTCGTTTATACAAACTTTAAGGGTGGGAAATATAATTTGGACAGACCCTAAGGAAGTAAAAATAATCAGCTTAATTTACCGATGTAAGCATCACTTCTAACGGCAATTAACATTAAAGAGTACTTGATAAATGTTTCATCATTTAAGGGGCTTAGTTGTAATTTGATCAAATTATAATGTTGCTGGGTAATCCGTCCAAACTTCAAGGGAGATGAATGTAATTAGACCAATAAATGATGGTACTTATGGTAATACCAGGAATAGGACTATCAACGGGCCATGTCCAAGCCCAAGCCCAAACTCAACTCAAACCCAGTGCGTTTCTCGAGATCTAGGATAAGTAATACATTTAATCAAACTCAGATCTATTCTAGACAGCCTGGATATGGATTTAAATGACCGGACTGATTTTGTATCCGTATCTAATTAATAATATATAAATTTGCAAGGACCATTCATCATCAAATACTTTAATACTTTACGCGGATACATTCCTCATTTTATAAGTATCCTAGAAATATAATTTATTTTCTAGAGAAGATTTTGAATCCTACAAGAGAGAATAGAAAAACAAAATGATCTAAAAATCGAATCAAAGATCTCACAACCATCTAATTAACATTCCTGCTAGCCAAATTGGGTTTTGAGAATGACAAATGAAATTTTTAACAATATATATGGAGTCAAAAGTTCAGGGTCTGCCCCCTTTTTACTCGACTAACGAAAATGCACTTTCATTTTCGCCAATGCATCATTTGTGATGATATTTATGCTTACCTTGACGTCCCAATTCCCAAATGGTTTACAAGAGATGAAAATATGCGCTGTTAGATTCACGGGCAAAAACAAATATAATCACTAATTCAAGGACTAAAAAGTGTACACAGTTAGAATTTCAAGGACCAAATAGATTTCTTTTTCCCTCTTTATATAACAAAAAAAAATACTAGCGATTTCTTGTTCATTGTCCTTGCACGGCTGAATTGCTCCTGAAATACTTGCTGCATTTTAATACTTGACAAGCAGGTCCTTCGAGGCCTGGCCCTGAAGCCAACCGTTCAAGCCCATACGACACTGTCCCTTTTGCTTTGTGCTCCGCTGAAAGTCGCGCTCTGTCAACTACCTTGCAACCTCCACATGAACTTAGCTCGTAATGGCAATAAAAATGACAATAACCATTAGAAGAATGGTTGCTTTTCTGAGATTCATTTTGAACCCCAAGTCACCTAAAACTCGGAGGAAAAATGAACCAATTTATTTGCTTAGTAGCGAGTAAATTAGTTTTTTGTTAATATTTGCTATGGATGTTCGTCGCATTTATAATGGGGCGCTTCTTGTCGTTCGAGTCTTGTTGGAGTTCAAGCCTTTCTGTAGTTGAAATTCAGCAGAATATCCACAAGAAAGGGGAAAAAGGTGACACCAGAAGGCCACCTAATAACGGGGGTCTCAATGGTTCAGGTAAAACACGTATCACCATGTACAATTGATTCTTGAATCCAGTTGGCGCTAGAACTGACTAATGGATGCTTCTCCAGAAGAAATTAACAGATGAACAAAAAATACGAGTTCTTCGTTTCCAGATTCTTCTGTTAGTAATACGAAGAATAAATAATATACGAAGAATATGAGATGCTAAACCCAAAAAATTTTTCCTGCAACTCGTAAAGACCCAGATTCCCACACATTTCCTAGGTAGTTCATCAACAGTACCAGTGAACGTGCAATTGCCAGAAATATAGTGATAGTAATAAACATTTTACCATCCATACTGAAGCATATATCACAGACCCAGCTCGTCTGTAACTTATTTTATCATTATTTTGCTCGATCAAAGATTAGAATTCATTACACCCAAGTCCAATGCATATCAGACAGCAGCAAATTCTAACTTGAAAGAAAATAGTATCACAATCGCGCAATGGGAGATGTTGTACTCGTGTATTCAGAAAAATGGTTATTTGGTCAATACAACTAGGTTTGTTGCTCTGGAAGGCATGCATCTATGAAAAAGAAATCATGCAATGGACAGGGGAAAAAGAGCAAGGAAAGCGGGTGCTAATTTCAATAGAGGATTGAGTAATAGTATCTAGTAGTGCAAGCAAACATAGTCAAATATGTTCCGTCATATTTCAGTGTTCTTATTTCACATAAAACTCATTATCTTCCATGTCTGAACAGGAGATATCTATAGTTTAAATGAGCAAAGCACTTCTGCAGACCTGTTCCAAAGCAAGAATGCGATCATTGGAATAATTGGAAATGGAAAGCCAGCAAAATGTCAATAGAACCACAAACATCCCAAACCTCGCATGGAATCAGGAATACATAGAAAAGTAGATTTCATCATCAGGTTGTAAGAAACTGATTTTCATGATCTCATAGTATCTTTAAGAAACATATATCACCATTAAAGACAAGCAAACTTAGCAAGCTATTAATACTAAGAGAGAACACGAGAGGTACCTTCATGCTGGCCCCTGATGGATGTCACAACAAACTATCAACATTCTAAATGTGCAGGTAAGATGTCCCAAAACTGAATGTTCTTCATATCTCACCAAGATAAATCTGCTTATCACTACTGCAAGAACCAATAACAGGTTCACTAGGATGGAAGACACATTCATTTATGGATCCAGTATGACCAGGAAGTTTATACAGTATACGCCGAGAAGTTGTATCCCATACGTAAACCATGCGGTCAGAACTTCCAGCTGTGACCTTGCTTCCATCAGATGACCAGCTGCATTTCAACAAGTTCTTTTCAAAATTGTGCTGGTGACCTTCTAAAATCTTCACACATCGGTTCTGAGGGGCATATGGACGCATATCCCATATGCGAAGTGTACAGTCCATGCCATTAGTAAGAAGATACGAACCATCTGGACTTAACTGCATACCAGTTATCATATCCTGATGGCCTTGAAGTGTCATAGTAACTTCATTTCTTCGCAAATCCCAAACTTTGACATCGTTGTCTATACCTCCACTGTAAATCTTATCAGATGCATCAGAAAAACTCACTGCAGTAATTTGGTACTTATCTGGAAAAGTTTGTATTGCACCCCTTTGACGCATATCCCAAAGTTTAGCAGTACCATCGTCAGATCCAGTGACAATTAAAGGAGGACCTCTTCGAGCAGGACAACAAGAATTTACAAAGGAGGAGTGTTCTGCCATCTTTTTTATCTGTTTTCCGGTCTCAACATCCCATGCCCTAATTGTCTTGTCTGGGCTAGCTGAGACTATTGTCAAGCCATCAGTAGTCCACTGTACATCCAAAACTGCATTCTTGTGTCCTTTCAAAACCATGTAGTTTTTGCAATCACCGTGTACATTCCACAGAAATATTTCTTTATCATGAGAACCAGATGCAATGATGTTTCCTGCTGGATCGAACTTCATTGTATAGATGGCACTTTGATGGCCAGTCAGCAGCATTATAGGTGATTCCAAACTTGATTTTCGCTGCTTTCCATTAGTATCAGGACCAATATTTGGAACAGTAGATATTTCCATTGGCCTTGAACCAAGCACAGAGAGAGCACTTTCAGTTTGCATCTTGGCTTCCTTTTGATGTTCAGCAACAGGGGTATAAATCAACTTTTACCTGAAATAAGTGCTTACAAGCTCAGTCAAATTGTATATACAGGGCTAAATGATACATTCTACTTAGTTAAACTAGAAATAACACAGAAAGAATTGACTCTGAACCAGAGGCCTCAATGGAGAAACAAAGTTTTATACATAAAGCACAATATTTAAGCACAGGGCATGCACACGCAACCATGCCAATTAAAACACTTGACTGTGTAGATAATTTTGGTATACTTGAAACTAAAATAAAGTAGCACATTCTGCCCACTGCAAGAGGGCTGCAATGGAGAAGCTTAAGGCAACAGCTATGGTCCTGTTAAGAGCAATTTTACTTCCAAGCAGGCTATACTACTACTTTCTTCTTCAGTGACATACATATGACTGTTGTAGAGCTTTAAGGAAATAGGCATCCTACACATTCCCTACACCAACCTGTGATAGTGGAAGATATATCATGCAGTGAAAAAGGTCAAACACCTCATTGTTTGCCTACTTATTTAGACCTACCAAAGCAAATTGGGAAAAGAATTTCCCATCTGACTTCAAAATTACACTATTTTGCCTCCTGACAGTCTGACAGGGTTCAACAACCAAAAACTTAACACACATTACAAAAATTGAATACTAAAAAGCCAAAAGAAACCCATAAGTCAACGAAAATTACCAACCTAAAAAGTGTGCAAATAAAACTGAATCAAAATAATTACAAACTATGAGTAGTCAGCCAGAAGTTCACCCATTAAATCATTAACAAAACCCAGCCTAAATGAATGCTTAGTCCAACACATTTGGTGCCAGAAAAAAAGAACTCACAAGCCACACCCAAAATAAATATTGAAACTAAACATAAAAAAGAACGCAGTCTCCCTTCAATTTAGTAAATTATCGGCACACCTAAGCACTTCCACGAAATCCAGGTTCAATTCTTTCCCAATATTTTCTCTCTTTTATAATTTTCTTTTCCCAGAAGGGGCATCACAAGGCTCAAAATAAGGAATGGGCACTAGGAATACGAACCCTCAATTGGACACGAGGAACAAAGACCCTTCACTACTGAGCTATACCCGATTCTCCAATACTCTTTCCAATATATTAACCCAAAAAAAAAAAAAATGCTCCCACCAGATCCTGGAAACCGGAAAACTAAAAACTAATACAAAAGCAAGCTAAGGTTTACCTAGGAGGCAAGTAAAACTATACTATAAACCCATTTTCTATTATTCACAAGACATGAAAATCTTGGTGCTTAACTGCATAAAGGGCGTGATTTTAATCCTAACAAAATTCTTGACATTCTAGAAAACAAAAAAAAGAACCATGTTAATCATATCAGCTGAAATGAGCAAGAAATAGTGAAATTTATAGAGAGGAAGAAACATTACCTGGGTTGAAGGGTTAGCAGAAAAACCGAGGAATCTTGAGGAGAAAACCCCGGGTTTCAAGAATTTGCAATTTTATCGGCTTTTGACTGAACTGTGATAATTTTTAGGGCTTTTATACTGTAGTAATGGTCAAGCCTGTATTGGAAACAATTTGTGCGTATTTTGAGCCTGGATGGGGCAGGACAGTCAGTGGGTCAAAGTTTGAGGCCCAATCTAAGCCCTTTTATTACACATTGGGTTTGCGGATCAAATTGGACTGGCCCAAACTCAGGTTTTCATTTGTCAACCTTAGAATTTACTTGAAGATATATCTTTGTCCAAGAGAGAGACTAATGGCTAGTTTGCGAGTTTGGGATAGAAAATAAAAGATGGGAAATGTTAAAGAAAAGAAAAGAAGAGAAAAGAAACAAATAAAGTTTGATGTTGTTTGGAAGTTTAGGAAATGGAATAATTTTAGACATATACATCATTAAAATTTTATTCAATGGCCATCTAAGGATTGAATTAGCAATTAAAAAAAATTTAGTGAGATTCTCTCAACTTTCCATCTTTTTTCCCCCATATTTGGGTAGAAAACTTTATTCAATTGTAGCTACAAAAGTATTCTTTCAAATCAGTTGGTTTCTCTTCTTTTGCATCCTTGAAAATCTCTCGAATGATAGAAATCTTTCTCAATCTGTCATTTTTCTTTCTTTTCTGCTGAAATCCCAACTTCCAAACAAGTTGCAAGAGTTGAAAGTGATGCAGGTCTCATCTTCTCGATGAATTTCAAGTGCAATTTAACATCTTTTGTAAGGGGGTGTTCAAATTTCCAAAAAAATTGAGAAATTGGTCGATCCAATTTAGATCAGTTATCAAATATCAGTGAAATGAATTCCTGATTAGCATTTGAATTATTGAATTTTATATGTTAATAATATATTATTTGTATTAATTCCTACTAACGTACTGTACTATATGCTAATCCACTGCTAAATAATGTTATAAATTATAAGGATTAATCTTGTACATACTATTAATATATATAAGATTTATTCAAATTAGATTAATCATGTATAAGCTGACAGTGTATATATACTGTCAAGTTTTAGATGAATGACAACTATGCAAATTTTAAATTTGAAATCTAGCTTTTACACATGTGTCAAGGATCAAACAATGATAATGCCGTCAATGTATATAAAATTTATTCAAATTATCTATATCATGTATAAAAAAGGAGAGACTTTTGGCATCAACAAAAATCCGTCACTTTATATACTTTCTAAACTACTATTGATAACTACCCATTATCAATATGGCTTTATACCAAGCAACATGTAAATTTTCATATTCTTATTTTAAATTATTCAATAAATGTTATAATTTGTATTAGCAACTACCACCTGTAGTTACAAATTACTACCAAATAACTATTTTTCATACATTTTATATTGGTAAATTTTCTATGTTTGTTTTGTCAAAATATAAAGCCAAATTTTTTAAAAATAATTTCAATAAAACTCAAAAAAATTCTACAAATATTTTTCCTATTAGTTGCACACATTAGTGTGTGCCTGGAACACTAGTAATTTATAACTCATGATACTATAAACTTATTTTTTGAACTTTAATTTGTATTTTTTTTATGTGATGATGGGAGGAAATTCAAGATTTCTTATTTACTTTTTAAAGTTTTAGATATCAAGGGATGGGGTAGATAGTTTGGGAGGAGGAAGTTAAATAAGAGGTCTCGGGTTCAATTTCTCCCACTTACACTTAAAAAGAAATTAAAAGAAAATGAGCTTTTTCATCATCATGGTTTTTCACACATGCAAATTTAGATTAAAAATTAAAGCATCAATAGTTAACAGATTTCATAAATGCTAGATGAATTTAAATAAATATTAACGTAAAAAGGCTCTTTCTTGACTTTGGTTTTATTAATTTGATTTCATCTCAAAATTTTAGTCTTGGATGTTATATATTTCTGACATTTTTCATATATTCAGGAATTGAGAATAGGTTTTGGCTTAACCTAATCTTGGTGTTGGCAAATTAGGCGTAGTCTTAGATACCTTATTAACATGTTTTCAAAGGTTGTTGCTTGTTTTTCCTTTGAGACGACAGTCATTAAGCATGCTTCTATGGTTATTTTAATTTTCTACGATTTTTCTATCAAAAAATTCTTGTCATTGTTGTTGTGATGATCAAGTCTTTCCTTTGAGGTCTTAATTGCAGACAATATTGAAGTTTTGGAGTAGAACTTTTATAGCTAAAGAAATTTAGCGGTTAGTGTGTGTTTAAATAAAATGTTGGAGGAATGAATTGTGCTAGTGGGATTTCACTGTGCAAGAAATTTTATTAATTCCTTTCTTCTTCTTCCTTAATCCTTTCTTGTTCTCTTCCTCTCCCCTCTTCCGGTTGAGGAAAACCCTTGGTGGTTCAACTCAAGTGAGTAGCCAGGAGCTTGGAGAACTTGGTATCAATGCCAGAAGCTACCACTATCAAAATGGAAGGTCATTTTTACTATATTTTGATAGTATTATTAATTAAACAAGTTAAAAGTACATTTTAAATATATTGCATAGTACTAGTTTCGCTTTTCATAGTACTTGTTATAGTATTTGATATTACTAATACCATAGCCTACTAATGTTTTTGATATTGTATAATTTGATTACTTTTTGACACTTATGTATTTTCAGAAATTTATAATTTAAAACAACTTTATAATCATTTGTATGAACCATAGCGGTTAAATGTTGAAGTTTTATTTAGTTGAGAGGTAATTTTTAACATATTTGATAAAAACCATTACTCAAATAATTAGGTTACTTACATATTTGATAAAACCATTACTCAAATAATTTCTTTTTTTTTTTTTGGAATTTTTACCATATGGGATTGTGTCTGGTTTTGGCCCATTGATGAAGTTTTGATATATCAATAAAATAGCAAACTTGGTTTGAAAAAAAAAAGAACAATTAGATAGTAGCTTTTGCCATATTCAATAGTAATATTTTTTATTTTCATAGTACTTCTTTTTGTATTTCACAGTACTAATACTATTGCTTAATGATCTTTTGAATGCTAAAAGAAATTTAACAATTCATTTGGACTATAGAGTCATAAAATATGTCATTTACAACAATTTCATCATTATTAATGCAAACAGTAATAATGAAATCTCACAATACTATTAAGATGGAATGTAGTTTTTACCATATTTTGATAGTATTGTTAGTCAAACAATTATATAGTACATTTTTAGTATCCTAACAAGACTAGTTGCAATTTTCACAGTACTTTTTTAAGTATGTGATAGTACTCTTTTTTCTTTTTTCTTTTTTTCTGTTCATAACTTTATCACTACCTTCATATAGGTAAAATTTAAGCCAAGAAGGAATTGTCTTACAGATGATCAAAACCATTTGATTAACCTACTCACTAACAAAAAACAGATAATATTATGTAGTCTATCGAACATTTTAAGGAACACAGATATAAATAAGATAACTTAAAAACAATCGGTAAAACTAGTTGTACATGAACCTACATTTGGCTGCATTTGCTGTTTGCAGCTATAGAATCGAAAATTCAACATGTGAAGGTATTAATCCCTCGAGCTGTTGCTTGGCACAGACTCTAGCTAACTTTTCCTACTTCTTTTCCCGCTTCTTTTCCTTGCGCGTTTTGGGCGAATTGAATTTACGCGGATCATGAGGACAATAGCATTCTCGAGGAAGTATTCAACAAGCTGTGGTTCACTTCTGCGACCATAGTATCCAAGTAACTGAACCACTTTCAAATGTTGGAGCGGAAAGCTGGCAGCTTTCTTCAACTTTCTATCTCCCCTAACCATATCATTCCACCATGATTCCAACTTCAGCACAAACTTCTCCAAGCTGGGCGAAGCCCTGATCAAAGAAGTAAATCCAATCAAACTTTCATCTTTTGATGCAAAATCTATTAAGACGAACTCCTTCGGATTGGTAAGTTGAGGAAGCTCATGAACAATTCCTTTTTCCTGTGAAACTTGAAGCTCTTTGGCACGTAAAGTAATAATCTCTAGTTGTGACAAGCAGCAAAAAAGCCAAGAAATGACATACCTAACCAAGTTAAGAGAATACCAAGAAACCCATATGAAGAGGTGATTTCTGGTTTAGTGAACTGTGCTGACCAGTTGGGGATTTCTTCCTAAGTGGGGAGCAGCTACCTTAAGAATCACCTGCTAAGATTACAACAGACGGGGCTATGTCCCCCGATTCTCCTCTGACGGTCTAGTTAGTTTGGATAAGAGTCAAAGTGGAGGAAGCTATTGAAAGTGATTCTTACAGAATATTCAGTTGGGCCCTTCTAAGTGAGAGGTTCTGATATTTATATGAGACAACTTGGAGTGAAGGATAGTGGGGTCTAAGTTCCCAAAATCTGACTGAGACTGAGCGTATCAGCCTGATTTGACAAGTCAGTGCAGTAGATAGGTCTTGTCAGATGTCACGTTCGTCCTGTAGATGTCAGGATCTTGGACAGGACTTCAATTGTCATGTCAGACATAGTGCTAAACCGAGATAACAGTAAATGTAGGAGCCACCTCAGTTATCCATGTGCGGGGTGTAGCCGAGGTGACTAGAACGGATAGGGGCCACCCCAGAGGTGAGGGGATCATCTAGGTACGGCCGAGCCGATGTGACCATTATAAACGTCCATAGGCAGGTAGGAGGGACCGAGCCGGGATGACCATCCTCACCATACATTCACAAGCATGGGGACATTCTGAAGTAAAAGATGATGTGCTGCAGTAGTTTTAAGGGAGACTAAATTTGTGTCGCTGACAATAATGGATTGTAACCTCAAACAGCTGCATACCTCCAGATATTTCAAGGCAATAGATGGACCACAAACTCGAAGGTTGATCAAAACTGAAGAGCCCCCCACTACCAGGCGCTCAAGAAATGGACAGTTGATAAAGAAAAATTCTAGTACCTCCACAGTTACATTCAGACTCTTCAAACTCAATGCTCTAAGGGACTTGAAGCCAATCTGTGCATGATGATGGATTTCAGGGTAACCAGGTTGAGATTTGCCACTGCTACAGCGAAGAAATACACAATCAAAAGTATATGAT